CTTCCTTCCTTCCTTCCTTCCTTCCTTCCTTCCTTCCTTCCTTCCTTCCAGTCAGTGTTGACTTCTGGCAACTGCCTGGACTAGTCCCTGAAGTTTTCATGGCAAGATTTCAGAAGTGGTTTGCCATTGCCTGCTTCCTAGGGCTGAGAGCATGTGACTGGCCCAAGGTCACCCAGCTGGCTTTATGCCTAAGACAGGACTAGAACTCACTGTCTCCCAGTTTCTAGCCCGGTGCCTTAACCACTACACCAAATTGGCTCTCTTGTGAATAATTATGCCGTGACTTTAATTCTGTGGAGTAATGCTGAGATACCTTTTGCTTACCACTCCAGGTCCTTGGTTATTACAACAGAAGAGGGATCAACCCTGAAGCCTTTTTGAAAGAAATCAAATATATAGCGAGTGACCCAGATGAAAAACATTTCTTTAATGTCAGCGATGAGGCTGCCCTTAAAGATATTGTGGATGCTCTTGGAGAGAGGATTTTCAGCTTAGAAGGTGAGCGGCTTATGAGAGATCTTAAGTATGGCATGGGAGGCTCACTTTTCAGTCCTATAAGCATGAGAAAGTTTGAACTGAATATGGTGCATTGGAGTTTGGCATGAAGTTCCGTGTGGGAATCTTCTTCTCAAGAGCCAAATTTCCTATTCTACAACTCACACTTCGGCATTCTGATTGTGTGTTTTGTGTGTGTGTGTGTGTATACACACATATCTGCCTTCAAATCAGTGTTGACTCCAGGTAGGCAACTACCTGGACAAGTCCTTGCGGTTTTCTTGGCAAGATTTCAGAACTGGTTTGCTACTGCCTGCTTCCTAGGGCTGAGAGAGAGGGACTGGTCCAAGATCACCCAGCTGGCTTTGTGCCTAAGGTGGACTAGAACTCACAGTTTCCCAGTTTCTAGCCTAGTGCTTTAACCACTGCACCAAACTGGCTATATTCTGAGCTGATTTGGAGGTGGTTATGTTGACTGCATTTATTAGTCCTCCTCAGCTTGAGGGATGCCCAGTGCTTTAAACATTTGCATCAGGCTCTGCGTGAAAGAAGAAAAGCCTGACACGTGTATCATGGCTAGATGAGGGCCTGTAGATGTCAGTCAGATATGATTTCCATGGATGTTAGAAGGAGGAACTTTGGGCCTGGTATTTCTCACTGCATTATCTAACTACAGTTGGACTGAAGCAGTATTTGGGGACTTTTTGAGTTTTGAGCAGGCTAATAGACACTAATCATGTGCAAAGTACAAAAATAAATTTATGTCACAGTTCAACTCTATTTAGGCACTTTTAAGATGCAGTTCTTACAGTGTCAGAGTTAATTATGACATTCATTCTCAGTAGAACTCTAAAATGCTTAGGAGATTCCTTAAACAGCAGGATTCTACTGTAACTAAGGTACTCATCTCTGTGGCTGATACCTAAATGTGCACGCTAGCTCAGAAACTGCCATGAACTTCGATCTGCACTCAAATTTCTTGCATGTGTTTAAGTCCTCATCATTTCAGCTGTGGACGTTAGCCTATCATTGGGGTGAATCATGAGGTCGCAGAAGGGCTAATTTCACATGCAATGCAATATTTCTATGCCTGAACTGGCAGCCAAAGCGAGACAAGGGAATTTACATGCACATTGATTCCAAATTTCAGTTTAGACTTCTAAACAGACAGGTAGGATTTTATGTATTTTCTTTTCTTTTTTTCTTTTCTAGGACCATGCTCACAAATCTTCCTACTAGCCTTTGCAATGTTTGTATCAAATTTTGTCACAGAACTATAGTGGCAGGTAGTAAATCTATTTTTCTTTCTTTCACTGTTTTTTTTAAAATACCTTCTTTTTGTGTTTAGGCACCAACAAAAATGAAATATCCTTTGGCCTGGAAATGTCCCAGACAGGATTTTCATCCCATATTGTGGAAGTAAGTGAATAATGTACTTGTTTTTGTCCTTTTATCTCATGATTCATGTGTCTTTGGCATGGGGTAGATATAACTGAGCCTAAAAAGCTTTTGGTTTGTGATGTATGGATCCATCAAAAGCCTGTATCAGGTAGAAGATACCTGGACTTACTTGTCTATGAAAAGCTGGAGGCAAATCAAGACATTAAGCTGCTTTGTGGTTCCAGACAGCTGCTTCTTGATGCAATTTTTAAAAAGGCTCTGAGTAAATATACAGAAAGTCTCAACTATTTTTTATTGTGCTCTTCATGGAAAATAATACCCAAGAAGTGGTCACTTCATTTATTTCCTTGCATGTGCATTGACAAAAATTAAGGACAAACCATTCTTTAGCATTTCTGAGCTAGATTTGTTCCTGGAAGAAATCTAGCACAGCATTCACATTCTACTTAGGGCCAGTCCTTAAGGAATTGTTTGATTAACTAAATGACTGACCTTTTTTGTTAAGGGTGAGGAATTGCCATTTCCATTTTCACCACAAGGATCTAAAGTTGGTTCTAAGCCTCCTTCAGTCCCATTGGCAGAAATAGAAGAAATTAATGAATTCATGTAAGACAAAGGCTGTGTTTGCACAACACAAGTCACTTGGCTACTAAGGGGGTGGGGTTTTATACCATATATTTAATAGAAATACACCCACTGAAAGAGATTGGGTTTGTATAACATGCTAATCCACATCAGTTAAGTTGAAACTAATCAACCTCAGCATGTGGTGTGAATGCAAAGTTAAGTCTTGTGCTGACATAACTATATTGTGCAAACATAGACACACTGCATCCTAGAGAAAGTTTAAACGTTTTTGAAAGTTTTCAGGAGACTTGCACCCATTTCTCCTCTGTGCCATAACCAAGGGTCCAGAGGAAAAAACTCATGATATGCAGTATACTTTCCTGCACTCCTTGCCAGATGAAGCCACACCTGTGGAGATTTTGCCCACCACATAATTCCTGCTCCTATTGAAAGAAACAGTGGTAGTTAGCAGTTTCCTTTTTGGCTAGAGAAGTAATATGATTTACTTCATTTTTTTTTTCACAAAGAGAAGATTGCTGTATTTTTTTTGGTTCTATTGTCCTGATTGATAGGTCTGGCAAAATGGCCGGTCTTGGAATACTTCACTTGCTGACTTGGCAGGGACTTTCTTGCACATTCCCAAAACTTTTAAAAAACTGGAACCTTTTCTAACTGTAATTCAAATACAATAGTAAAATATGTTGGGGCATGAAGGATTCCTCCCCATTAGAAAAACTGCCCAAATTCTTAGTTTAATTACTTAGGATAACAGTATTTTCTTATGGCAGGAGGTCCCCAGTTGTACTATTTAACTGGCCTCGCAAAACATTGACACGATTTTTTAAATTTAATTTTTTGAAGCTAGTAAATGCTCAATTCTTCAAGAAATGACTCGTGCAAAATTAATCAGACCAGGGGAGAAATATTTTTGGTATTATTTCTGATAGCATCTTTAGGATGGGGCAATAAAGGGAATGTGGCTGGCAGGCTCCTTCAGGAAGTCATCTGAGGATGGGGGAATGTTGAAGGCCTTCTCTATGTAGAAATCACAATCAGGAAAGGGGATCCTGAGGGACCATGTCAATGGGGTGGGAAATCCCCATTTTGAGTATATCTCTGTGTTTTTTCCAAATGAGTTGCAGATGCAGATTGGCAGAGAAGGCTACAACACAAACTGTCCTTCTCCTTGATAATAGTTTTTCGACTTGCAGGAATGTTACTTTTGTCTCAAGGGCGTCCACATGTGGTCAAAAACGTTAAGGTGATGGTATAAGCAAAGATCCACCTGCACATAAAAACTGGGCAGAGCTTTGATTGTACCATCACAACCACCATCTTGACTTTTTAGACATCTCTGGGGATATCACTGAATGTCCTGCAGTCTGACATGGTCCAGTACCTTCTACCAATTCAGGATTTCTTTACTTCAAGTGGCTGCATATATAAGCAAGGCTTTCTCTAAGGAAGATGAGGAGAGGTGCTTTGAGTAGTCATGCTAAAGTGTTGTCCTTCAAGGAACTGGCTGTCTGCCCCTTCCCCCAAAAAACAGAGAGGATGAATTCTCATGGTTTATGACATCATCTGCCCAAAAACACTGGGGCTACCCTTCAATAGGCTTCACTCCAGGTATCAGCAATAAAACTGACAAGACAGTGTGTGACATCCCACAGAGACAGCCTTCTAAGCCCTCCACCCATGGGGGAGTTGAATTTATAAAATGAATCACCACTTTTTCTCCCACTGCTTACCATGGACCATTAGGATAACTTTGCAGATTGCAGTTGATGTCATAAATCCCTTTTCTAAAAGAAAATCAATTTCCTGGCTTGGGATTGTAGTTCAAATTTGGAGAGATCAGTGCATGTCGCCAACAGGATTGACTTGAGTAGAACACTGCTCAGGACAAAGGTGCAAGGCCTGTAGCTGGCAGAACCCAAATTACCATACAACATCCTTTATTCCATTTTATTTGATTTTAAATATAGCCAAGGGGAGTCATTTGGGCATTTGCATAGCTATAGATCATCATATTGTTATTTTTAATTTTAAAATGTACTATTCTTTTCCAAATCAACATTCTGCTTATTCCAAAGTAAATCATGGAATCATAGAAGGAGAAGATCCTTGAATGAAAGGGTTAGAAGGGATCTTGAAGAACATTTAGTCGAATCCTGTGCCCAAGTCAAGAATCCACCACTACAACATACTGTAACAGATGGCCGTCCAGCCTCTGCTTAAACCCTCTAGTGAAGGAGAAGCCACCACCTCCCAAGACAGTCTGTTCTGTTGTCAAACAACACTTTCCGTTAGGAAAGTTTGTTATTCACAACAACCCATTTAATTTAATTCTCGAAATAAGCCTTTTTATGGGTTTGCACAGTACATCGAACTGTTAACCCAAAGGCTGAGTTGACACAACAGCCTAAGCCACAAAACGCTAATCATTTTTCAATATAACCCAAATTAGTACATTGTGCAAATGTACTCACTAGATGTGCTACTGACCTGACTAAGTGTGGTGTGTGAATCTAGTCACACACTGGTCAAATCCACACAACCTCCTTGTCCAGCACACAGACTTTTCCAAAGGACACGTAGCTGAGGCAGCCAAAGCATGGCTTTAGCTGCTCTGGAGTGTAAGTTGTGGCTTCCTTCTTCTCTCTCCAAACACTGCATGTTGCAGACTTGTGGTTCTAACTGGTTCTGCCTGTTTCCTGTGGAACTGCCCCCTCCCACCCAGTCCTTGACCTATTCTCCACTGACCAATCCCCTTTTGGCTCTGAAGGAGGTCAGAATCCCAGCTTCTGCCACTGTTTTCTTTTTCCTTTTTAATGAATTGGTGGAAAGGTCATCTTGTGGACCTAGGGACCATGAAGCCCTGAATTTACTAGCTGGTCCTTGTGTAAGTGAAGATGTACAGTAATTGAAAGAACTGTCCCTGTACTTTGTAGCCCCGAGGGATATAGAAATCTAACAAACTGCAGGGGACGGGTAGGGTCCTGGGAACAGAGGGAGCTGCCTACTGCCAAGTCAGACTAAGGCCTAGCTGTGTTCAGTCTGTTGCCGTGAACTTGCAGGAACCCTGCAGGGTTTCAGGCAGGCATTTTCCAGCCTTCCTGAATGCACCAGCAGAGAATGAACCCGGATCTCCTACCTGAATTATTCCACGGCTTTTTTTTGCCCCATGAATAGGATGGGATCCTGCTTGGAGCTGTTGGTGCCTATGACTGGAATGGTGCGGTCCTCAAGGAGACCAGCAGTGGCAAAGTTGTTCCTCACCGAGAATCCTATCTCCAAGAGTTCCCAGATGAACTGAAAAATCATGGGGCTTACCTTGGTAAGAACAATGCCTGGAATGCCACCAGTTTCTCATGTAGACCACACAAGCTTCTGGATCAGTGCTAGCAAAATTTAACCAAAGCTGCAGCTCAGATGTGGAATATTGGAGTTTGTATTCCACTTTTCCATATTCAGTTCCCAAGCTGTAACAGCCACAAAAATACAATGAAATAATACTTCATATCATGTGTATTAAAAATATTATTTAAAATGAAGACAAGTAGAAAAGCAGCCAATTGTAGCTAAATTCCAGGTAAGAGAACAGCAAAACAGACAACTTGGAGACTATTGGGATCCAGACAGGGATAAACAAGCGGAAGCTGAATTGCATGAAAACAGGGGTGCTGTTGGTTCAGAAGCTGTCTGGCACTCTGACTCCCCTGGGAGGGACTCCAGATGGAGCAGCAGTCTCCCTGAAGGGGTAGCTCCGTGAGTTGAGGGTCAACTTGGAGTCGTAGTTATAGCTAGATGGGCTACAGGACAACTATGGCCAGGGTCATTTTGCAGAAGGGGGTTCTGGCAAGAGTGACACAGGCCCTTTTCACCTCTTGTACAGATTACTGCAACGTGCTATAGCTGGGGTTGGCTTTGAAGATTACTCAAACGCTGCAGTTGGTATAAAATGGCAGGTGAGAGCCGCTATGAATATATAATCTTGGTGCTGCTGGCTCTGCACCAGCCGTCAGGAGGCTTCTGGGTATATCTCAAAGGGCTGCTTTTGACCTAAACAGCCTGACCCAGCTTGGTGCCCAGGTACCTGCAGGACTGTCTGCTTTAAAGCGATTCAGGATGCACATCCCAGGTAGGGTGGGAATGCCTCCCCCATGGGAGATTCAAGAAAGAGCAAAAAACCATCTGGAATAATCTCTCCCTGGAGGTCCAGACAGTGCCTTGCTCCCAACCTTTAAGAAGACTGTTAAACAGAGCTGGTCAGAAGAGCCTATGAGGGCCAACACCTGATCATTGGGATGAAGGAGGAGGAGGAGGAGTTACATTTCCATTATGAAGTAATGATTATTAATCAATTCATTGCATACTATATTGTTGGTATTTTTGGTAATTATTTGTCTTAAGTGTAAGCCTCCATGAGTCTCTAGGCATGTGGTAGGGGTGGGGGTAAAAAAAACAAGATAGTGCAAATCAACCCCCCACCCCTTTTTGGCATGTGCCACACGTATGATGTGCATAAAAAGGGAGTAGGGTTTCAGTTGCATGGTCACCACTTCCATGTTGACATTTTTAGCAGTGTCTGTGGATAATCCTTTGTGGTAATCTAAAAATATAGTAAATAAAGAAGTAAGAGATTAAATAAATGAATCAAACCAATAAAACATACAACTCCAGACCAAAGGCCATCCTGGATTGAAACTGTTTTGCAGGTTGGCAGAAAGTAAGAAGAGCTGTATTGTAGAAGAAGACTCCAAGTATGATTATGACAATGATGATGATGATAAGTTCTGGCTTTGGACTAGAAATGTGATACCTGGAAAGGACTCCCTCCACATGATTTGTTGTGTGTGTGTGTGTGCTGTAGGCTACACCGTCACCTCCATGGTGTCCACAAGACTCAACAGGATTTATGTAGCGGGAGCCCCTCGGTTCAACCATACCGGGAAAGTGATTGTTTTCACCATGCACACGAATCGAAGCCTCACCATCCACCAGTCACTGACTGGAGAACAGGTAAAGAAGATCTTTCTAGTCACTGCTTTGGGAAGGGGTGTGGCTGGCAAAGAAGAAGGCTGTGGCACAAGGTTGGATTAAAGCCAATTGATGCCCTAAGCACAGCCCTTCAGTGGTGCCCCTTGACAGAAGCAAAACTTTCATGCCATGAGGTGGAAACAAATGCGATATCTGACAAAAACTTCAAGCCAAACTTTTAAACTTTAGTCACTCACCATGTCAAAGAAAATGTTTTTTTAACAATGCAGATAGAAGTTGAACATGGCAGATAAGGACAATTACAAAAAAATTGACTAAAGGGTGTGCCAATGAAAGAGTTAAGGGCATAATAGCTAGGGAAAAAACTCTGTGGTGCCGCCTTCCCTTGGTGCCCTAAGCATATGCCTGGTTTGCTTAACGGTTAATCCAGGGCTGCAGTGACAGAATATCAGAACTCTCCAGTTAGCTCCATTGAAGAGGAATCAGATTATTATTGTCTTCAAGTTGGTGAACAAATAATTTAGCAGCCCAAGAAGCTAAACCCAGGCTAGATGGCCATCTATTGGAGGTGCTGTAGTAGTGGAAGTCTGCACTGGCAGAGGGTTGGATAGATGATCTCTAAGATTCCTCCCAATCCTTCCAGTGTGTGATTCCATTAACCATTTATATGCAGGCAGTTTCTTGTGCTTGTGGCTAGAGTGATCAACCTGAAAATGTATGTGCAAATTCAGTTCACAGATCGCTTGTTTAATGGCACTCAGGATCCATCCTTCAATTTTTCACTATATCCTATATCCAAAAGCCATTTGTCCTTTGGTCTGATAGTTTCCTGAAAAAATGAGTTCCCTAGGTAGGTTATAAATTATAAGAAAAAGAGCTATTTCCTAGGTTTAAGAAGTTGATCTTGAGTTTTTCTATTTCAAGAATAGCTGAAGTAGCCAAATGGGATGAGTAAGCAATGCTGAATCTCCTATAGACACATTTCTGTCTATAAAGGAATGCAAATCTGGACATTCACCAAGAATCTGTAGAGTACTGTTTACTTGATGTAAATAAGCATGAATTCCTTTCAAACTAAATTAATCATTTTTGCCATAGACTTTCAGTAAGGGAATCAATCAACAGAGAGCAACTGAGAATAGCAACTAATATGATCCTTAATCTTCCAGGATCAAAGTGTTGTTCTTTGTATGTGTGTGTGTGTGTGTGTGTTCCAGAAGCAGTGTCTAGACAAGGAGATGATAGATTGTTTCCTCTGAGAAATGACTCTCATTCCAGTAGTATCATTACAGATGCCATTAACTTCTCAGAAGCATATAAAAAAAAAACAGATATACACAGCTCTGTAAGTCTTCATTCTGTACATATTTTTGTATCCTTTTCAGATTGGTGCCTACTTTGGAAGTGAAATCAGTTCAGCAGATGTTAATGGGGATGGAGTCACTGACATTCTGTTGGTTGGAGCCCCCATGTTCTTCAGCGAAGGACGAGAGAGGGGAAAAGTGTATATCTACAGCCTAAAAGAGGTAATACTAGGTCCTGTGTCCACAAATGGGCATTTTGTTCAGGGTGAGAGAAGCCCTTTTTATATTTGCTGCCTTTGTAATATAACAGCTGACACAAGTACTGTTAACTGAGCAGACGCAACTCGTTTCTGGTGATTAAAATATTTGACTAAAGTATGGGAAGAGCCAGATTCTGAGCTCCATCTTTTTGAAGGCACTGAGATTGACAACGAAGAATTGGGGAAAATATTCAGAGTAATAAACACAAATGTAAGAAAGGACAAGACACCTCACTCTAGTGAGAAGTAAGTGTATTATTTGCATCTTATTTGCTATCTCCATCTGCCCGGATGTCAGGAGCAATGCTAGGGGAATTCAAAAAGTCAAGATGGCTGCAGCAACCACATGAAACCCTGCCCTTTGTTTACATGCATCGCATGTACAGTGTATGCAGAGACAGGGTAGGACTTCAAACACATGCTCGCAGCCACTGTCTTCACTTTCTTGATTCCCTAGACATCCTGACTGGTGTCCTAAGGAGCTCAAGGGGGCAGCCGTAGGGACTGTCACTCATTTTCATCCTTACAACAACTGTGTAAGGGAGGTTGTGTTGAGAAATTGTGTCCGACCTTAGACTCTTTGCATGAAACAGAAGAAAATGATCTTATGTTTATGGCTTTGATGATTAGAAAAAATTGATAGTAGAAAAAAGAGAGCTTTTCTTTTTGTAACCATAGAGTGAAAGGTAATTTTGTAATTGTACTTATATTTGCTGCAAAGAAAATCAGAAGCCACTTATTTCTATTTCTTTTCATTATTTCTTTTTGCACTTTTTGTCTTTGTCTTTTTTCTTTTCTTTCTTTTCTTTACTTTATATTAGTTTTTGTTAGTTTTTATCTTCTTTTCAAAACTCTTAATAAAAATTATACAAAACAAAGAAATTGTGTCTGACCTGAAGTCTTGCAGTGAGCCTCATGTTCAAATAGGGGCTTGCTTTCTGCAGTACCAGACCAGTGGTCTAACTACTACACCACATTGGCTATTCTCACAAAACATGATTAACCAGTTCAGTTGAATACCAACAGCCAAATTTTCATAAGTTAACTTAGTTTTAACCTTGGTTTACTTTTTGTGCTGCAGCATGTTGTGCAGAGTCAGTAACCAGGTGAAGCCTGTTGGCTGAATGCAGCCAATGGTTGTTGTTCTGGCCTGATGAGAAATGTATTTGAATTGCATTTAAAGCAGCTTAAGTGTCCATGGGGGAGGCAAGTGATGAAACATACGTTGTGATAGGAAACTCTGCCCATTACATGCTTACGTGCAAAGTTGCAGTGCAAGTAAGAAAGGGTGGAGCTTCCACCATGCCATTCACTCCCAAATAAGTTTAGTGTTTCATGGCAAGGACAGCCACAAGGGATGAACTAATATAACAGTAGAAATGGAAATGAAGTGTTTCGGGGTCAAAACACATGCTGCTTGCTGGAAATTATGGAGAGTGATGAGCTGATGAGAAAAGTTAGGGAAATAATAGAACATAATGAAAGATTACTTTTAGTTTTTTAAGAAAAGATAAAAGTGTCGTATAACAATTATTAAAGAAATCCTAAAACACTAAAGAGCTTGGTAGGACAAATGCCAACCCTAAGAGAAAGCTCTTTCTCAAACTGCAGAAGTATTCAGAAGTTTAAACCACCGCATTGAATAGGGCTTCTTCCCAGGAGGGTCTACATAAAACTGTGTTGTTAAGTTCAGTGCATCTTCTGCCTGGATTTCTCACTTTCTTCGTCTCTCTCTTTTTGGGGCAACAAATTTTCTGACAAACTGTACTCATGGTATATTCTGTGCTGATACGCAAATGTACTTCTTCATCTTTCCTCTTCTTGAAGAACCAGTTTGTTCCCAACGGGACTCTGAAGGACTTGCCCAGCTACCAGAACTCCAGGTTTGGGTCCTGCATTGCCTCTGTCCATGACTTGAACCAGGATTCTTACAAAGATGTAGTTGTGGGAGCCCCTCTGGAGGATGAGCATCAGGGAGCACTGTACATCTTCCATGGTTACAGGGAAAATCTGATCCGGAGATATAAGCAGGTACGGCTTCTCTTTAGGCTGTAGGGCAAAGGCAGCAGAGGGGTGACAGCTGGGGTCTACATTGGCATTTGGACTTGAATGCAGTTCCAATATATTTAACATGGTTATTCTGTGTATGTAATGATTTTCTCTTATTGACATATTGACCATTTTATTCATACCACCTTTTGGAGAGGCTCCAAGGGGCTTGTCCAAGGACTCTTAGACACTCTCAGCTGGTTCACCCCTGTTATTGTGAGTGTGGGACCAGACTAGAGATAGTTAATGGGGCAACTGTAGGTCTGCTCGTGCATTTCCTAGGAGCTAGTTAGTTGGAAAAAGATGAGGCTACAGGTCATTGGTGGCCCACAACCAACTGTTTGGTCTAGTGGTTAAGGCACCAGGCAGGCTAGAGCCAGGAGACTATGAGTTCTAGTCCTGCCTTAGGCATGAAAGCCAACTGGGTGACTTTAGGCCAGTCAGTGTCTCTCAGCCCAACTCACCTCACAGGGTTGTTGTTGTGGGGTAAATAGGAGGAGGAAGGAGTATTAGATATGCTCACTGCCTTGAGTTATTTATAAAAATAATAAAGGTGGGATAAAAAATCTAAAAAATACCCAGAACTGGTACTCTGAGTGAACTATGCAATCAGTGCCTGAACCTGCACAGAAAATATTTGTTTCTTCTCATATTGGCAGCATAATTTGGCATCTAGTTCACCTGTTGCAGATGAGGTAATCTAGTTAAGTGGGTGGATGAGTTCAAATATGTGGGTTCTGATCTCTGCATCGTTGGTTGTTGCATCCACTGATGCCACACAAATTGGTAGTGCTCAAGCAGGCTTTGCCACATATGTGGTACCTCTGGAAGAAGGAAAAAGCCTGAAAACAAAGATCCGAGAATTCAATACAGCCATGATGCTGATCTCGTTCTATGCACGCAGAGGAAACGCTGCATGCTCAGGAGCTATAGATGAGGCTCTGGGAAGAAACTGTCCTTGGAGCTGTCAGGCCGCTTAACGGCAGAGCAGGATTAAGGAAGCCAGATTCACAGGGATTTTCTTCAATGTGTTTTAATGCCAAGGATTAGGGGTTAGAATACAAAATCTTGAGAACTGAGATAGGAACCCTCCAGTCCTCCTTTACTAGTGTGTTCATTGAGGCTCTTTGAAGCTTTTGAGTCTCCTTTTCCCAGCTGGTTGCACAGCTAAGAATCCGTTTCTTGCATAAGCCAGGAAGGCTCTCGCCCATCCGCAGACTGCTTGTGTTTAGAGAGGTTTCTCCTTCTCCCTCAGGCGCAGCATCCATCAGTGACAGCTTCTGCAGACTATTTCAGCTTTGTGCTTGTAACTATATTCGATTAATATACTTGTAAATTACAGTGTTCCAAAGGAATCTAGGCCTGGATGAAAGCCGCAACCTGGTCAATTTTTCTGAATGGGGTTGCAGCTTCTATCCAGGTCTAGATGCCCCAGAGAGGAACAGCTGGCAATTTTGTTGCCATGGGAATGCTTAAGTGTCCCTGAACATTCCTGGCTCATTATATTTGTCAGCACAGGAGAATATATTTATTTGTCAGATTTACAGTGCGCCTTTGCTCCAGAAGCCCTTTCTCTCCCAATTCTTCCCCACAACAACAATCCTTTTGCACAGGTATGTTCAGAGAAAACTAACTGGTTTTCTTCCTGTGGTCTTCCAGAGAATTGCAGCTGCTGACCTTTCTCCTGGCTTCATGTATTTTGGGAGCAGCATCCATGGGTACCTGGATATGAATGAAGACAAGCTGGTGGATCTTGCTGTGGGCTCCCGTGGAAGTGCTGTCCTATTATGGTTGGTCTTGTCCAATTTAGGGCTGGTTGAGATATCTTTCATTCAGAGTGAAACTTGGGGAGGGGGCAGGGCAGCAGAATCTAACCAGCATCCTGGGCATGCAGATGTCCATAATTAGGAATGCACCTATCAAAAAGCCTGAAGCAGCTTGGCTAACCTTATGAAATATTCACAGTACTTTCTCCTTGTTAAAGAAATCATAGTCAGTTAATCATATGACCATAATCAACTAAATTGACATGGTATGTTTGTCTATGAATAAATAATCATTTAGAAGAAAAAAACATACAGTATTATCTTTTATTTTAGGTGCATCTTAAACTTGCTATTCATTCATTCATTCATTCATTCATTCATTCATTCATTCATTCATTCATTCATTCTATATCTTTCCCATCGGGCAGGATGTTTATAGGTAACCTTCCAGACATTGCTGAACAACACCTTTTAACATCCCCACCATCAATCATGCTGGCTGGGGCTTCTGGAAACTGCAACATCTCAAAGATCACATGTTCCCCTCCCACCCCATCTGAAGGATTAATGTAACGCTAAAGGCAATTGTTTTAGCATAATTAGCTTCCTTATTTATATTTGGCTGGTTTTGCTGCTGGATTTTATTCAGTCCATATCCTTTACTACAGGCATGGACCAGAATTTTTTGTAAAGTTTGTAACAAATATACAATTGTACAGTTATGTAACAAAAGTAACCAATCACAAAGAAAAAAGGGAAATAAACTGAAATACTATATAGGTGCAAATATTAAGAATAAATGCTAAAAAACTAGATTACTAAATTACTGAAGTAATGATAAATAAAATACTAGAACACTGGTTTACAAAATTCTAAAATACTAGATTATTAAACTATTTAAATACTAAATTGCTTAAATACTATCTAACATGAACCTAATGTCAAAGGTCCATTATATTCCTTCAGATGCAGCAAACTACGCCTCATTTTATAAACTCAAGATACAATCCAATAAAAGGGACAATCACCACTTTCTATCACACTGTGCATTCGTGCTACCCTTCATGGATCATTACTTTCTACTGGTAAAGCGTTTTGTGGATCCCAGGGATGCTATGATACTCTCCATATCGTTGGGAGTACAGTGTGTGCTTTGCATAGACAGATGCTATGTGGAATAGGCAATCTTAAAGACAGGCAGGCCCTAAATCATAGAGGACTTTCTAGTGATAACTCCACTGAATTCAGTGCACTGAAAAACCCTCTGGTAACCACTGTAATAGTGGTCCTGCAATAGTGGTGGCTTGATTTGTTATCAAATGGCGGCTGCATTCTCCACCACTTGGTGGAGTGAAGTCCTGGTTGGTCTTCCAGGGCATTAGAGCTCATTACAGTAATCTGGTTCCTCTTCTCTGGCTGTATCTCTCATTATCTGTCCAATGGTTTGGAGTCCATGTTTTGATCAGGGTCATCCAGCAATCTTCTGGCAAAAGAGACATTGATTTATTTCACTCTAAGCTAGAAATGATATTAAATGGAAGGGAAATTATCCAGCAAATTCTGTCAATATTTTCTGTATTGCAAAAAGTTTCATATATACTGTATTCTCCTAATGTAAAAACCATTCCATTTTTCCCAGCAGTGGAAGTTTCAGGATTGTAGCTGTTTGTAATTGATTGTAATAATCAAGTCATTATTTTACATTCTAATTTTAGGTTATGGTTTAATCATGTTTAAGCCATAGTTAATCACTCTTCAGCAAAACAAAAGAGGGTAAAGTGGCCACTTCATATGGCCTATGTGACTTGCTATATATACCTAAGTCTATTTTACCCAGTGATTATATACAATCTTCTTACTCTGTAACTGAATTCACACATAGCAGTAACCCATGGTTCATTTAACCATCACATTTTAAATAACCAACATGACTGGGTTAGCATGACACACTATCCATTGTTTGTAAATCCCAACGACTGGAGTTCACACAATATGCTAGGCTCAAGCATACCCACACACTTGCTTTGGAGGGCTGCACATAACACCTCTTGCTAGCTCCTTAAACTGCACCTTAAAACACCTTTTCCCAGTGCGGAGAGCAGCCACACAATCCCAGAGAGCACACAGCTGCAGCAAGGAAGCATTTTTCCCCCTTTATTCCAAAGCCCTGAGTCCCCCCCCCCCCCGCCCTGGTAATGCATTTCTGGATTGGGTCAGGATATCAGCTGCCTTTGCCTCTTCCCCATAAGGTCCCGCAGCGTGGTCCAAATCAACACCACCCTCCGGTTTGAGCCCTCCAAAATTAACATCTTCACCAAGGACTGCATTCGGAATGGAAAAGAGGCCACTTGTCTGTCGGCATTTGTTTGCTTCACTGCCGTTTTTCTCTCAGCTCATTTTCAGACAGCACACGTAGGTAAGTGGCAGGGCCTGCTCTCTCTTGAGGGTTGTTCTCCCCATTGGGCAACTGTGCTGCTCCTCGGGGCCGGGGGGGAGCTTTAATTCAGAACACAGTCCTGCCCCAGAAGCTCAGAGCAGGCGACAGGGAGATAAAACTCAGCAACACAGGAAGAAGCATTTAAGGGGAGAATCCCTGAAATTAGTCTTTTCTCCACAACCTGGTGATTACAAGGAAGCCCCTCTTAGCTTTCTTCTTCCTATCACTGCCAGCAACTACAGCATAATGGAAATAATATTGCTGGTGGTAGGGGCATCTGGGGGTTCAAAAAATCAAGATGACAGCCACAGCCATGCAGTTGAAGCCTTGCCCTTTTTTTTAATATGTGCCATGTGTGTGATGCATGTGAAAAAGGGACAGGGCTTCAATCATACAATCATAATGGCCACCTTGACTTTTTTGACCCCCCAAAGATGCCCATAATTGGCTTGAACTGAAGGTTGCATAGCTCACACCCTTACTTGCTGTTCTATTCTACTTGAATGTATGGACGCTCTGTTTAGATCCATGTACCTCTCAGGAGAGTCAGTCTGGTGTAGTGGTTAAGGCATCGAAACCGGGTTCTAGTCCCACCTAGGCACAAAGCCAGCTGGGTAACCTCGGGCCAGTCCCTCTCTCTCAGCCCTAGGAAGCAGGCAATGGCAAACCACTTCTGAAAAATCTTGCCGAGAAAACTGCAGGGACTTGTCCAGGCAGTCTCCGAGAATCGGATATGACTGAACTGGGGGAAAAAACCGCTCAGGATAATGGCAATTTAATCATCACTTGCTTATGTATAAAAGTGAGTTTATTATTTAAGAAGTGAGTTTATAGGACAATTGTGGTAGTCTTTCTTGGCCAGGGAGCACATTAGGGAAGTGGGGCTGCAGAGAGGGTTAACCAAGCGTTCACTGAACATTAGTGAATATGAGATTTGAGATAGCTTGAGACTGTGGTCTCAAGTTAGTTCTATATTTTATTCTATGTCTGGGAATAAATGATTTAGACTCAATTTTCCCTTATTGCAGCACTGAATTACAACCTCACCATTGATGAACGACGATATATCCCACGAGCCCACCTGGATGAAAATGGAGACCGACTTGCCCACAAGGCAGCCACCCTGCTTGCTGGGCAGGAACACTGTGACAGGATGGACTTTCATGTCTTGGTAGGGACTTTCTTCCTGGGTGATAAAGGAAACTTAATCCTGAGTTCTGCACTCAAATTGCTCTTGTTTTTGTCTTAAAGACCAGGAAAGGTTGTCTTTTTTCAGGGGTGTCTGCAGGCAGGAGATGTAGGGGGGAGTAGCATTTGCAAGATGGTAGACATGGTATCACAACTGAAGTGTGCCAATTTTGACTCCCCAGGGGATGCCTGTTTTATGTCCAGTTTTGTGAAGCATCTCCTGCAGTCTTTCCGCAAAAGCTATTAGTTGATTAAAATATCTACTGACCAATGTGCCTCCAGGCCCACGTGCCAGGCTGTAGAAAGAGCCCAACTCTGCCCGGTTGTCCTGGTTGGCAAGGGCTATTATTGTGGGCACAGCCCAATTGTCTCTTTACAGCAAGCTGGATCAAAGGAAAATGGCAGAAATATATCTCTTTTCATTAAGATTTTAATTGTTTCTAATGACATTTCTATTAATTTCTGGTTTTCTTTTTTGAGGTTGATTATAAATACATTTTTGTTATTATTTTATGGTCATATTTTTTAAATTGTCATAGGAAGGCTTGATCATTTGTATAAATAGAAAGACAGGGCATAAAGATGATAAACAATAAAACACCCAGAGTTTTGTGATTGGGGTGGTATAAAATAAATGAATAAAGAAACAAAAAATAAAAATAAGGCAAACCCCACTCATTTGGACAGTTTATGGTGCAGTGCACAGTAACCCAGAAGTTAATTCACTAACCAGGTTAAGTGTATTGGGCACACTCAGCCAAAGAATAATGATGATGTTTTGTTCTTCCTATTCTTTCAGGATACAGCTGATTATGTGAAGCCAGTGACTTTCTCTGTTGATTATGCTCTAAATAGTCCTGAGACTGGACCAGTGATAGATGACGGGTGGCCAACTTCAGTGAAAGTTGCTGTGCGTAACGCCTCTTGATTATGGAGTGAGGGTTGGAGATGCAACCTAGAAACCATGGCAATGAATGTTCTGTTTTGGCTCCCATCACCCTGTTCCAAAGCCTCTTTCAGCCCTGTTCCAAAGCCTCTTTCATAAAGAACAGTAGTTTGAGATGAAGGAATCAGGAAGGGAGGATTCCCTGGGGTTCTGTGGGAGCCAGGAAGAACAAAGAGCAGAGGATAAAGACTCAAAGGGTCTTTTTGGTGAAATATTCACAATGTAGTTTAACCTCTGTATGAATTAATAAATAACAAAAAAACACATGCGCCAAATTTGGTTGAATGAGGCTAGAATCCCCTTGCTTCACGTGTTTCTACATTTCATGCAGGAACACTATATAGTTTAAATACGAACAACCAGATTTGCAGAAAACAAATGGCCCAATCTTTAAATCCAGTCCACTTTATCACATGAATGCTTGAACCATTGTAAAATTTTGCAAGGATACGTGAACCTTGAAGGAGGGCACACAGATTGCTCTGGAATTTTCTGGCTCTTCTGTTCCAGCCTAGAACATATCTGAACCAACTAATTGGTTTCCAGCCCTCAGAAATTAGCTTCAGCAACCAAGAAGCCAAGCAACCTGTAATGGGTTGTTAAGGTTTCTGCCCTGCACTGTCTTAGTGAGGGGACAACATTCCCCAATCTTTCCCTGAGTCACGCATAGCTTCCAGAACACTGAGGATGCCTAACTTAAACAAACCAACAGTTCTCCTCTACCCCATAGGTACCATTCTGGAATGGATGCAACGAGGATGAGCACTGCATCCCTGATTTGGTTCTTGATGCTAAAACAGATGTCCCAACTGCAATGTGAGTAAATCGTCTAGAGTGCGCCTAAAGCAAGGCCAGCAAATGAGAGGGATCTGGGGAATCAGATTGCATGGTTCACTTTTGAGAGCTTTGCGGGGGAGAAAATCATCCCAAACTGGTGAATCTCTTTCTTTTCCTTTGTCCTGAAAGGGCATCATTATTCTCTGTGAAGATCACCTGCAGGGGCAAAAAACCAAGAGGGGGAGAGGGGGAGAGGGAAAAGAGGGGACAGCTGCTCCAAGTGTCAAAAAAAGGTGACAGAATCAAGAAGGAGGGGGGAAATTGCATGTTCATGTACAATAATGTGTAGTTTTGCCTTGTCCCTGTACCCAGATTTGAAAAATACATTAGTGGCACCTTTCTTGTTAAAAGACCTGCACCCTGACCCCAATGGCCCACAACCTCCCCTTCCTTCCGTCCATCCGACACACCTTCACACTGCTGCCAGCACCACTGTACCCTCAGCCACCTGTGAGGCCCTAGTCTGCCCCCCATCTCTTGACTGCACAGTGTGTGTGCAAGGGACTGAAGGCGTGGACTGCTGGGTGGACTATGTGAATTTCCTGAATGCTATTGCAGATCCTGCTACCTGGCTGCTGCCTTAACATTTGCTCTTTTCATAGGGAATATTGCAGACGCATCCTGAGAAAGTCTCCCTCAGATTGCTCCGCCTACACGCTGTCTTTTGATACCTCCATTTTTGTCATAGAGAGTGCCAGGAGGAGGGTAGCAGTAGAAGCCCTGTTGGAGAACAGAGGAGAAAATGCATATAACACCATTCTAAACATTTCCTTCTCAAGAAACCTGCAGTTTGCCAGCTTGATTCAGAAGGTAAGGCATTGCTTAAACATTCTCTTTAAAGAGAGGATTCATCTGGGGGAAGGTTGATAACTCTTATGATCAAAGATCTCTTTCTGGCAGCCCCTGAAGCTGACTTGTTGACTTGTTTGCTGAAGTCTGTTGACTTGTTTGCTGAAAATCAGGAGCATAGTTCTCTATTGTTTTGAGTTGGAAAACATTCAGAAACTATATTGTGTACTTTACAATAGACTTAATATTTTTATAAGACTTCCAAACTCTCCCCAAGTTTGACTTGGATTGAATGAGGTGGTGTGTGCATTCGAGAATAAGCACTCGAGCATCCCTCCGCTCCCCCACCCCCACCCCAAATCCTGGTTAGAGCCCCTTTGCTGCATCCCTCCACCCACTACAGGTCCTGGCCATCCAAATCTGTTGTGTGCTGCCTGCCATCAAAAGGTTGCCCACCATGATTTCAAACATCTTTAATGACTAAACTATCCTTTGGCATAGCTGGCTGGGTGGCCCAGCTCCCTAGTCAGAACTGATTGACTGACCTTATTTCTGAAGAAGGATGGTGCCCTTCACCTGCTGTAACTAAGTCCAGAAAGCTCTGTGGCCAGTGGGATAGGAATGATGTGTTGCTCTGGCATTCTGCATACACTGCTTCAATTGCACCATTTTTCTTCCTCCACCACCTGGAATATTTCTTTCCCTACAACCCCTGTCTCAAAAAATGCCTGGACTTCCTCCCTCCCTCCTGATTTTACTCTTGTTTGGTTTAGGAGAGAAATATTTTGTTCTTCCTATTGTCTTGTGATTCATTCTGCATGCAGGGAGTTCACCAAATGCAGTTTGTTTTTAAGTTTAGACAACTTTCTGTTGAATTGTGTATAATTGTCTAATAATCACAGAAGGCAGGTGGAATTTCTGAGCCTTCCCTGGGGGAGACACCAGGGACGTGGAAGCCCTCATTGTGTAGCCAATGTGGAATTTGGATTTTTTTTATCATTGGGAGCTTATATTTGAGCCCTTTTGTCCAGAATAACCTATTTTTATGTCTAAGCTAAACCCAATTTTACTAGTTCCACATCAGCCTCTACATCCTTTGTAAAGTTTTGTCCCTCCGTTGTTTTGGTTGTTAGAAGATGAACAGCCTACAGAAGTATTTCCTGCATCTTTGTGCCAGAGAAAACTGTGCTTTCAAATACATTAACTGAACAATATGGGACAAATAAAAACCAGCAGCTTCTATTTTCCATCTCTCTTCATGTTTGAAGGCTCTGAGACTCTCCAAAATTTCTGCTTTTGTTCTTTAACTCATATGAGGTGAACAGCAGAAGTTCCAAAGGAAAGAGAGTGACATTGCTTGAGAGGATTTAGATTTAAATTCAGGTTTGGCTGATGAGCTTTTGGGCAAGTTATGATTTCTATATGTTTCTCTATAACATTAAACTGGAAAAAACAGTGATTTGCCCACAGGGTTGTTGTGACAGTGAACACAGAGACAAATTAACACAATGTTCATTTATGATTGTTATGTTGGTTACATTCACACAAATCCGGCCTATTGTGGCTTATTTGATAAATCATAGATAAGCCCACCTTGGCTTGTATGCTGTGTGAAACCTTAAGTGTGGTCCTATGCTTGTATGTGATTGTTTTTCCTCCTTCCTTCCTTCCTTCCTTCCTTCCTTCCTTCCTTCCTTCCTTCCTTCCTTCC